ACTTATTTTTTTCAGAAGTTGATCTTGGAGCAGGTTGGAATGTTTGAATGTTATGAATCTATTGAAAACAGTAAGTGAAATGTGAGTTAATTGCATAATGAACTAAATCACATCTTTTATTTACAAGTGTCCACTATGTGAAATCTCTTAATTATAAGTGACTCAACAAATAAATTTCCTATTTCATATAAAATGAGGTGAAGAAAAAGATATCATATAAATTTCTTTTTGTCATTTTCTACTAGAATCTAAAATACAGAAAATGCGAATATCCTAAATGATTAAAAATAGGGAACTAAAGCTTTGAAGGTAGGTTGTTTTTTTTTGGTTTTTTTTTTGAAGGTTCTTAAATAACTTTGTTTCAGGCCACTGAATTTTGCCTAGATAGCTCTTATGCAGACAGAAAATTCTGAACTATTTGAGCCCATTGTTGTTACAGACTTAATCCATTTTATTGAAGGTCTTTATCACTGACCTATCACCTTTCCAAGTATGATGTAATTTTCCAAGAACTGGCCCTTCCTAACAACATGCCCAGAGTACGTAAAAATCTACTGTTTCACTATACCACTTCTCATGATTTTGGTACCTGTTAATGCTAGTAAATTAATCACTATGCTTAAGATATTAGGTTATCAATATATTAATTTAAGGAAGAAAAGGATAAATATTCACTTTAGAAATATATTATCCATTAATTTTCAAGTTATACCTTATTCTGCTCCATTTGTTCTTTGGTCTTTGATCTTGTAATCCGTACAAAAGAAGAAATAACCTTAAAAGTCAAAAGAATATAAAGTTTAAAAAAACTTGGCAAAAATTTAACATTCCTGAGTCATGAAAAAAAGATTCACATTTTTAAGATTTATTTTCTCCTCAACAATTTACAGCAAAAAAGCTGTCCACTAATATAAATTCCTGTTTTTCTTAGTTCTGGCCTGATTCAAACTAAATATATTAAAAACTTACTCTTCTTTCTCAATAAGGGAAGAGAAGGAATCTTTCCATATGATTAAGTGGATATATTTGGGAAGGAGTAAGAAAACAGACTGGAATACTAGGGTCTTTTGTTCACTTCTTAAAAAGATACTTTCTTAAGAGTTAACTTGGATTCAATCTCATGATTATGTTATAGTCTGCTGTCACTAATAAAGAACACATCTCAGAGAAAACTTGGTACCACTGAAAATAGGGAGAGGCATTAGTGGTTTGGTGGCAGAATTATTTGCCATCCTGGAAATAAAAATTCAATTTCTGACCATTACACCTCATATATAGTCACCATCTGTCTGTCAGTGGAGGCTTATGAGTTGTTAGGATGCTGAAAAGGTTTCAGGGGCACTTTCACTCTACAACAGACTAGGAAGAAAGTCTGGTGATAAATTTTTTTAAAATAAGCAGTTAAAACTCTAATGAACTGATTTGCAACAGATCATGGGGATGACCCAGGACAGAGCAGCAGTTAATATTATATCATTGTACATGTGATCATGAGTTGGAGGACAACTCAATGAGAGCTACTGACAAAGAGTAAGAAAGTAGGCTTCTCTCTAATGTATAAGAAAGAAAATTCATCAATGGCTTTCCGTGTGAGTAGAATAAAAGACTACTGGTGAATTTTATTAGTTAACATATGATGTGTGCCCTTTCCCTCTACATAGAATACTTTTCTAGATCAATAAACAGTTTCTACATATTCTTGAAAATCCAGCTTTAATCTTACCTTTTGTAAGATTTTTTTCTTGATATTCTTTCAAAAAGAAAAAAATCTTTCTCCTCTAGCATGTATAAAATATATTTTTATCTTTCCACTTTGAACAATACTCTATTAAGCTATGTCTGTCATATACTGCTAAGGTCATGCATATAGTAAATACTTCAAGCTTTACCATTAGATTCATGAAGGCCAGCACCTGAAGAGAAGAACCTCATCACCAGAAAAGAACAAGCAAGAGAATGCAACTCATCTTTCAGGACCAGAGATTCTTACACCAGCGAGACCAGGACTTACAGGAGCAATAGCCACAGCAGCCACAGCAAAGAATCAGAGACCGAACATGAGGCAGAGTGGGCCTTGGGATTGCTATGTCACAGAACCAAAGCTAAGAGCATTTTGCCCAAGTTTGTAGGAGAACTGGGAAGGGCAGAGCCATAACTGACTGACTGAGAACTTTGTAACACTGGCCTAAAGCTGCAAGGCTCAAGCAAGAGGTACCTGTGACATTTCAGAAGCTGTACTGACTGTGTTCTGCTCTTAACCTGGATTATAATCTTTTGATTTCCCAATATGGTTCTATATGGTCTGTGAGCTATTGCAACAGATTTTGGACTCAGTAAGATTGGTGTTGAGATGAGTAGAAAGAGGTACAGGGGTGTGGAGGATGTGTCCAATCTCATGGGAACTGGTTTATTGTTGCTGATGCCGTTGATGGAGACAGTTCCCCTTTGTGAAGTTGGTAACGATCAGATATGGCCATCCTATGCAGCCTTTGCTCTTTTTTCAAAGAGATTAAATAAGCAAGCAGAGCAGAGAGAAGGGAGATGCCAAGTTACATGAAGATCCTCAGAAGTAGAAACTGAAAGAGACAAGGACCTTCTTCAAAGACAACAGAGAAAAAAAGCATTCCCCAGAGAGTCAGAGGCTAGAGGCCTGAATTCTGATTTCTAGCTTCCTAAAAGAAAGAACATAAATTTATTAGATCATCTATTTTTGTATTTCTGTTGTAGCAGTACTAGGTAAGTTAGACATCAAATTTACCGTTTTGGGTTCCTCTTTCATAGCATTTGGTTGTGAAACTGACAAAAGAAAATTAGGTTTATCAGGTCTATAAAGACCTATTTTAAACACTCCTCGTTCAGCTTTCTCTCTCTGTTCCTTCAATTTTTGAAGCTGTTTTTCTTCTTTATATTTTTGTAGCATTTGTTTTCGTTGATCACCTGGAGCTGTTTTAGTTGACACTAA